TACACTAGCAAACCATTTAACACATTGGAGATTAGTGAAAGATTATCAAAACTAAATCTTAGTACTTCTGTTGGTATTGGTATGTAATTTCCAAATGAATATTTGTTTTTTTAATTCTATTATTCAATATTTTTTTAAGTATTATAGGATAAATTATATCATTTAATAGAAAAAATCAATACTTTCAAAATTTTATAGTTATTTACTAGTGACAGTCAGGGAATATACCGAATTAGGTTAATGTAGATCGCTCCTTTTACGGTAGCAAAATGTCGATCAGATTATTCTAGATGCTTATTGGCTAGATACAGTGTAATATAAAAAAAATCAGTCCTTCGGACTTCTATTTTCCTAGTATAATTACACTACAGGTAGAGCAATAATCACCCGATGTCCGTGTGTTAACAAATTCTGAATTTTAATTGGCTAGATCAGGTGTGACATGAAAAAGAAACAATCAAAACAATAGGTGGTCGATGCTTATTGGCTAGATATAGTGTACAGTAATATAAAAAAATCAGTTTAATTTTTTTTATATTTAGTCTTTCGGACTTCAAATAGTTTCTATTTTCCTAGTGATAATAGTATACTGTGTATATATTATAAAACTTATTATACTAACTACAGAGTTCATTAGCTTAAATAGTGTTTGAAATTAGGTTGAGTCAACCCAAAACCGACTCGAATTTTCGAATTAAGTCGGTTTCGGGTTAGAATAAATTTGACCCAAAAATTTTTGTTAACCCAACTTAAACCTCGGCCTAAAATTGCCTAAAATTGCCTAAAATTGCCCAAATTGGAGATACAGTACCCAAATTATCATTATGTATTTTTATCCTAACGGATTTTGATGTGCTATGTAGATCCTTAATCGGTCGGTGCTGCTCATTATTATTATTTAGTCAATTACTTTGTAACACATTATTCCACGGACAATTAGTTAAATGACAAGTTTATTTTACAGGCGGTTAATTTGCAGACGAGTTCATTTCATTATCTAAGATTTTAAATTTTAAATTTTAAAATGTTAAAAAAATGAGTATTTTAACAGAAACTCAAAATTAATTTAAAATTTTAATAGCTACAGTGCGTATATACTAAAGATAGCAAATTATTTTATTACTTTTGTTTAAGCAAATTATTTGCTAAAATCATCGTCATTTAATAGAATAGATTAAACAAATCTAATGCAGTTAATTTTTTTTAAAAGTAAAGGTTATAGCACTTTAAAGTTATTAATTGCTATTAGTAAATATATAGATAAGTTTGAAACATATGCAAGTTAGATATTGTTAAAGATGCATTTAATTTGCTAAAAAATTTATTAAATAAAATGTTACACAAATACTTCAATATGATTGGTTTTAAGCTTAATTTTGTGTGACAAAATCGGCTCTGGACCTAAAATTTAAGGCTGATGCATATTTAAAAATTCAGCGTGCACGCACTGTAATTGTTCGAAGCGTAGCGAGACTTACATGTACATATAAAGTTGAAAATGTTCAGATCTTTTAATTGAGAAATTTCTGTCTGTCTGCCACGTGATATTATTCTTATTGGCTAATAATTAATTAATATTAATAACAGTAATAATATGTTAGGTTTCGGACTCACAATTATTATGAATATTAAATGATTAATATAAAATAATACGATGAAAGGATTGATTTCTTTATAGCAACACTAAATAAGAGTGATTGAATAGACTTTACTTCAGATGGTTACTTTATAGACGTATATTTCCAATGAGTCGTTCTAATTCGAACACCTTTCAGAAATTCATTTTACCATAAAATCAATACAGTATTTAAACATATAAATATATTGGATTTTTCAGAGCCTTTCATAAACCTAAGTTTTTTTAATGATATTCGAAATATAAATAAACAAAAGGTCTATTGGTTACTAATAGGTTTAACAGCCACGATATACATATTATGGTAGTACTCAAGCTTATTGTTTACTAACTCATAAACAGAAGGATTAATGATTTCACTTACAACTACATCATATTCTTTTATAGTGGTTTGTTTAGTCTCATCTTTTATTGAAGTTTCGTCTTTACCAAAGGTTGTTTTTCGTAGAGGTTTTATTTTATTTTTTTTGTAAAAAGTTTATTTTTCGTGGATACTTCGTCTTTTCACAGGAAATTTGGTATAGTTATCTTTTAGAGGTTAGATTCATCTTTTTTCTTATATTTGTCTATCGGTCGCTAAGATATTTAACAATTATGATATCCACATGGCTTATTGTTTACAGAAGGTCGTATACAGAAGGATTGATAGTTTCATCTGCTCTGCTACACAGCCTTTTATTATATCTTGTTTAGTCTATATTTTATTGAAGTTTTATCTTTACCAGAGATTTATTCCTTTGTGGAGGTTTGTTGATAGTCAAATAATTTATTACTTTGCAAGGAGTTTCGTTTTCGTGGATGCTTTATCTTTTTTCTTAGGAATTTTGTCATTATCTTTAAGAGGTTAAGTTTCGTCTTTATTATTTCGAAAAATAGTTACGTCTAACAACTATAGCTAGCTTTTTAATATTATTTATATTGATATACGTATATATTTTTTGACATTCGTATTTTTGAATACATTCTTTTTTAATTTTTGAAATTTTCTCATTTTGTATCCTGTAAATGAAGATTTATGCTCTTATTATTTTGCTTTTCTTTGTTATCTGCATTATAGATGCTATTCCTATCACTACAAATTCTGTTTCTCTTGTCAAACATAACCCTAAACGTTCTTCTAGAGACGTTAAATACTATAAAGACTACTTTGCGCTTAAATATGAACCTTTAATTCGAAGTATTCATGGTTCCGATCAAGAAGTCCTTAATAAGCTTGAATCTGCTAAAAAACGGTTATCTCAAAGCGTTAGTCTTTCAGTATCAAATAGTGGATATTGTGTGATAATCATTATAGGCGGTCAAAAATTTAGAGTGCTTATCGACTTAGCAAGTTCCGATCTTTGGGTTGTATTTTTTAACATTTAGGCCGTTCAAAGTTGATTATTAATTGCTTAATCACAATTTTGAACTTAACATGAAGAATTAAACAAACACATGTGTAAACTTTAGTCACATTGATTAATCAGGTCATCTTATGTTATGATTAGCTTGTTTAATTTCGCGTGAACAAGTGTTAAAAAAAACTTTGAACGGTCTTACATTATCTTAACAATGCAAATGTTACTTATATCTGAATCATTTTAAAAATAAGGTTCCTTCTGTGAATTGCACATCACTTGCTTGCCGTAAACATAATCGATTCAACGAAAATTTATCAGAAACATTTACGTTCATTGGTACTTCTTTCGATATGGAATACGGAAGTTCCGAAGCTGGTGCTATTAGTGGTGTTATCGTAAAAGATAATATTCTAATAGGCGGAGTAGAATCTGTAGGCCAAATGTTCGGTCTTACACTTGAAGAAGGCGATTCATTTAATGAAAATACATTTGATGGTATTTTCGGTATGGGTTTTGATGATAATAGTGCTGAAGGAGTTGTATCAGTTTTTTCAAACATGGTTAAACAAAAAGTTGTTAAGAATCCGTACTTTGGCCTTTATCTTCAACGATCTAATGATAAGGGTGATACGGGAATATTAACTCTTGGTGATATTGACACGACTAAATTCACTGGAAACCTTAATTATTACAATGTATCTACTGTTGAAGGTGAATACAAGCATTGGATAATTGATCTGGATGATGTTTCTATTAATGGTAATAAACTTAACTATAGAGAAAGAAAGGTTATATTTGATACTGGAGGTTTTATGATATTTATGCCACCCGATGACGCTATAACATTTTTTAAGCACATAAACGGATCATCACAGGATAGTGATGGACTTTTCCATGTACCATGTAACATGACAGATCAAATAGCATATATATTTGGTGGAATTAATTATAATATTGAACCATCTGACTTGATTCATGGACCTGCAGACTATGATTGTATTTCTGTAGTTCAATACTCCGCAGAAGTAGTTGTTGATGAATATACATGGATTGTTGGAGATACATTTTTAAGAAATGTCTATTCTGTATATAATATAAAAGATTTTACGGTAGGACTCGCTCCAGTATCAAAATAGTGATGACTTTAAATTTGATTGGAATATCGGTGTTATAAAAAACGGGTGTTTTATATCTAAAGTATAATAATAATGATAACTCATTATATTTATTTTACATTATGTGATGAAATTATAAATTAAATGATAAATGATTCTTGTTAATTTAATAGCTTTATATGAACCGTCTTTAATAGTGCTTTTTTATTATTAATAATTATCTCTAGTACGATAAATTTATGTAATTGATTTTCAATTTTTAGGATTTTGTCGTTTCCATGCTTGTACACGTTTTTATACCTTTATCGGTTTATAAAATTTCTTAGTCGACTCAACTATTGTCTTCTTATCATATCCACTTGTTGGAATGGTTTGAATTTACCATTCATATTATTTAAAATCGATATTTTTTATATAAATATACTGTAAAAGAAAGTCATTAATTTAAATACAATTCCATAACTTTATAATCCTTTATTGGAAAGAAAATAATATCAGAAATTTGGGATCAGAGCTGATATCGGTGATGATAAATTTTAATTTTTTCTTAAAAAAATGCTTAAGACTTTGAATGGCCTTTTTGTCAGGACCTTTAGATAAGTTTACATAATATGCATATTTATAATCCAATTCAAATCCACTACTTAAATATTGAAGCTCATCAGAAATCGGAAAAATTCTATTACCAATTACTAAGTTTTCTTTACGAGCTTCAAAATTAAGCCAAATATTAAGCACGCACAAAAGATTAAAAATTTCACTAAAGTCTTCAAAATTCGATAATCATCATATTCAATACATTTTATCACCATACTATTCAAGATGACGATGCATTACTTTTCATCCATAAAAATAATATAATAAATTATAATGTTTTTAAAAAATAAAGCCAAGTCTTGTTTAAGATTATATTTTAAGCACTTGTGACCATCGATATGGTGAAAGAAAAAAACCATGTTTTCTGCGTACACTGGAAAATGATTGTAAAATGAAATTTGAGATATTTGAATATGTCGGGAAACGACTGTTGAGAAATAAAGGTCGGGAAATTATTAAGACCAAAAAAATGCGTTCAAAAAATGTGCATTCTTATAGGAAATATTATTGACTATTCTTGCATTTTTATATATTTCTCATTGGAACCATTGGAAATCTAGAAATCAGAACGTTCATTGACCATTGTGGTTCCATTTTCCGGTCAGCAATACCAGATCAATCTGTTAAAATTCACATCTCATTCAAATAAATTTATATATAAAATAAGTGCACAATCATTTCATTGTTAAGCTTGAGTTAATCTTATAAATAATGGTATGTTTTTAACATTAAATCATGCAAAAAAATAAATAAATAAATAATATTCTAATGAAAATTGCATACATTAAATATTCTTTTGAAAAAAGTCAAAAGTTTAAAGTCATCTGAAATATCTGAGAGTTCAATTTTCTTACTACCCAAAAACATTTCAGATAACTTTATAATTTCACGAGTGTCGATGAACTTGCTTCCACATTTAAAATATTCTCATAGTACGAATCTTCGATATTCTCAAGTACTGTTTTGGATTCATTTATTTCTAACAAAACGCTTTCAGCACTTTGCCATTTCTCAAAAATTTCAAAGTTATTCTGCTGATGAACGTTTCATTGTATATTTATCCCAACACTTTCTCATAAGGTTCACGTAACATTGTGGTTAGAGATGGGTTTCATGCGTGCGCATGATTCCTCAATCGTGCGCATTAATGCGCATTCATGCGCATGATTCGGAAT